ACTAAAAAAACCAGTAAAAAAACACTATTTAGGAGACACCTAATAACCTATACTCCTTAAAAGTGTAAGATTATCCATTTCAATTAACCGGTGACATGTCATATAATACAGCATTTAAAGTATTAAAAATACACGTATTGTGCTTGTGCATAGTGGGCCGCTTTAAACACGGTCATTGATGACGTAAGAGTTTGCAAACCCTGCGAAATTTTGCAACCATACGCTGTTGGCGTGCCTTCGCATGCCGCTATGTACTTTAAAACAACAGGGCTGCCAATCATGGATATAAAACTGCTAATGATGTGAAAAAGAAAATCTATATCAGTCCGTATAGCTGCCTGACTGCCTCGTTGGCTGAGTGGTCGCAAGTGCGACTCGGGCAATGGGTTCGATTCCCGGGTCGGGTGAAGTATTAATGGGTTTTTAAAAAAAATCTCAGTAGTAGCACGGAGTCTGGAATTAATGTGTCCAGTTAATGGCAATCTTAATCTCAATATTAACTTCTGCTGGCGACTTCATAATTATGCTACTAGGATAAAAAAATGCCTACTTAAGTAATATTCTGATATTCCCGACTATAATCTATCTCTGTGCCAAGTTCCTTTCAAATCTGCGTGTAAGATTACTGAAAATCTATTCAACACCCTAAAAAACTTTTACATAAGACATTCATGTTATTCGTATTTTTAGTATTTGTACATTATTCCTAAGTACCTAAAAATATCAAGTATTTAAAATGTAAGATAATAACAGGAGTACGGTTTATTGATTTGTTAAATAATTACCTTATATTAATCGTGAACCGATATCTACGTTTCCTGGGCCTCTAGCCAAAAACCACTTTAGCGCTTGTCTACAGAGAGAGTAGAAATCAAAATGTATGGGGATGACACTGACAAGTGTCAAAATTTACGTCAATTCCATATAATTTGGTTTTCTATTCTACATGTAGACAAGCGCTAAATGGCATTTGGCTAGCACTGCTGGTCTGATAAATGCATAGATATATTTTATGGCGACCTTGAACTAAAGCAACTTATTTGAGTCTATATTTCAAACTATTTAAAGTGCCTTTTTGAACATTGCGACGGCAAATACTTGAAACTATATAGTTGTTAAGATGTCAGTAGTGCAACCCTGATGTTCAAGCCTTTACAAGCACTGACAAAGGTCGCAGTCACCTGTTTAATGTCTTACAATTTTGGACGCCGCTACAATTACTGTGCCGTTGACCTACTAACAGTATCGCTACTGTGGCTAGGAATATTGTTTAAATGCATTGTGCTTTCTCTTTGTACGGCAGTAAAGCACGCGGTGGTGTATAATAGGCGCTTTTGACCATTTATTTTGTTAATGTTACTTGGCTGACGGCCAAGGTCATTTTACTTATTTGGCTAGCTTTCCGACTCTTTCACAAGGTTTTATACGGGTAGATTAAGCTGTGTACTATGTAGAAGGCACCTATTAACTTTCCCCTATAAAACGTCACCTAAATATTGATTAAAACTCCACAACTTAATGTCGGCAGTTGTCGTAATGTCTATCCTCGTGCCGGCCATTATTTAGACTAAGCTAAGCTTTCTCTTTGTGCGCTAATCAAAGCTTACATAATAGACCCACAAAACAAAATTTTATTTACTGTTACACGACATAGTGTCGTGAAATCTGGCCGAGACTTCCTTCCTGCTGTGAGTCATAACACTAGTAGCAGGTAGCTCTTATAGGCAACGAAATGGACATACTCTCTCCTAGTTAGGCCTAGTTATAGTTAACATTACTTTTATCGGTTAACAATACTTTTACCGTACGATTTAAAGCGCTCATTGGCCATTATCCAAACATACATAATAATTACACGAACTGCTGATCGCCCCCTAATACGATTCATACACAGTTATCTAGTCACCATCATGCTGTTTAAGTGCCTGATCATAGGTATTATAAGCCCCCGGGACAACGGTATTACCCTAACTCGAATATACCCTTTTCTTTTCAATGATTTGAGATAATGATTTGTATATGTGACACAAAAAAGACTATATAAAACGTAATAAGTGGGTATGTACCTTCTTACAAAAATAAATAATGCCTCATAACGCCGGCTACAGTAATGATTGTCGATCAAAGAACTAACATGTCAGTAACAAATTGCTGGATAATCAATCATTCAGGTTCATTATGTAGGCTTGTAGGCGACGTTATTTGTATACAAAATATACCAAAATTGTCTGCCCTTACTACGCATTAAACCTTTTTATTTGTATGAACTGTGCTGTAAATATGACTGGTATAAATTACTGTGGTTTTATTTTATTTAGGGCGTCTATATTTGCGGACTATACTAAATAGTTCTTAATTCACGACGTTCCTATTACTGTTGAAATATAGAAAATGTTTCATCCATTTTTATATGAGAGGAATTACCTATTGTAAAAACGGTTTCCATACTAGACTAATTGACTGACTGACTAGTAATTAGTCAGTAACCCCATAATTAAAATGACTACTCAGTAGCCAGTAAGTCAGTCCAGTCAGGCATTTGGTGTGGCCAAAGAATTATAAGGGTACTATATATGTTGGCAATAAACGTTTTTAAATTCATACATAACAATTAATAAATTGAAATTAATTAGGTATTTCAATCAATCTCCAGGCTCAAGAGAACATCGAGCCGTGGCGGCAGCGCTGGTTCTACGGCGGCAAACTCCTCGGCGACCGCCTGCTGGTGGAAGAAGCAAAGATCACGGCCGGGTACGTCGTGCAGGTCATAGTCAGCACCGACCCGCAGCCGCCGAGCTAGTCGCACACACCTCTCACCCACACCTGCGTCTTTGTGGTACTTTGCATTTATTTTTAAAACTTTTTTAAAAATGTTTTTGGGGCTTTAGCTATGAAATTGCCAACTTTTTCATTAATTAACCCAATGGAAATAGAATAATACATTAAACAATTCAAAATATAATCACGTAGTTTAAAATCGGAACTCTTAGCAAAAAGAAAATGTTTTGAAATAGTTTCGCCTGAGCGGCAATTTCATAGACAAAGTCCGTATTATTTGGATGGCGACGAGCAGGCACATCGCACGGTCGTACGAGGCGACAATGTATAGAAAAAGAAGAGATTCTCTATGTTTTACCTTAGTTTGTGAGCGTGACACCTGCGCTACTTATAGTATATTCCTATATTATTGGTGTTCGTCTATTTATTTTAAAGTTTGTAGTTTAGCCAGACATGTATGCGCTTTGTGTGTGATGAATCGTAGACAGCACAAGCGATGGCGCCCTACGCTATGTCTTATAATCTTGTAGGCTGATATAACATTACACCTGCGTTCAAATAACAACTTGACAAACGCAAAATTATTAACATTGTGGTAACATTCATCAAGGTGACATGGGTGTTTAAATTTTACTGTAATAAACACTTTAATTTCTAAAGATTTCGCTCATAAACCTAGTATATTGGCAAGCCTCCAGGCCATTAAATCGCCCAGTGAAAACAATTGAGCAAAATAGCACAAAGACGCTTCAGTGAAGGTACAGAGCAACATAATCCACGTAATAAATTAATTCTAAAGTAACGTAACACGTGTAGGTTATACTTGTAACCGATTTGTACGGCACTAGCCCGCAGTCTGTACAATAATGGATATTTAAAGCACTGAGAAAGGACCTGACATCACTCCAACCACCAGTTACTTACTCTCCCAGTCCCAACAAAAATAAATAGGTCATTTTTTAAGACATGTATCCAGAAAAGTATGAATGCATTATTGTACAGACTAGAGCCCATATAAAGTTCTAAAACATGTATATTGTACGCTCGTCATAGTACTGCGCGTAGATCATTTCTTGTATAACGCTTCTATTGGGTGTCGCCGCGATACGTTCAACATGTCGTCACTTTGACCGTACGTACAACATGTAGTATATAAACGCATTTGTTTGCTATCCAGTATACGACAAATCCACTACATATTTAATTTTCTCAACATACTGCTACATGTTGTACGAACGATCTCCAAGACTTTATAATTTGTACAAGATTCTTATAGAATTGTTTATATTTATATAAAAAGCCCCAATTGTAGTGGTTTATATATTATATTGTATATGTATATCGGAGTGAGAACAATACGTTAAGGCTGTATGATGGTTGACGATACGCTGACACGACCAGATTTTTATTATAGCAAGTATCAAGGGAAATTAGATAATAGAGAATATTTTGTTTCTTTAAACTGCACAAGATTACCAGTAAACAATTAATACATAAGGTTCTGTGACTGAGAAGTTGCTGCATATATTATGTGCTGTACAATATTCATGCTCACACAATGCTTTAAATTGGCGACCACGCAACATCTCATTTATTTATTGAGTAAATAACAGTGACATCCCACCTTACAGAGTTGGGTCGCGGCACTAATATAGCGTTACATCATATACTACATATACTATATATGTTAAAGTCACTCCGCATGCAAAGAGAGTGAAACTTCGTGGGATGTCCGGTCGACTTGTATTTATAAATTTCTTTATTTATATTTTAACAAATAGATTTTTTTTATTTAGTAGGAAGCTAATTTACCTGATTTTATTTTTCATATTTTTATTTGTTAACTTTATTTCGCCGTCCTTGTTTTTTTAGCAGAACCAAATGCTAGCAAAGATTTCCCAAGATTTTATTGATATATAAATTATTGTTAGTGGCCCCAAATTGAGTTGTCGACGTTAAGGATAAACTTGACCAATTATATGGAGTAGCTGTAGACTTGTGAGCATAAAATATATCATAATACATAACGTCTGAACGCAAGTATTAAATCTGCCATTACATAAAGCGACTGCCATCTAATGTGATGTAAAAGTTTCTTTATATACTTACTCAATTATTATGATATTCTAACATTGTTTATTTTGAATATTTTAATCGGAATGCTAGATGTTAATTTTAAATTCAAATTGGTATTGGTATGCTTGAACTAACCGAGGTTGCAAGAGGCAATATTTTGTCTATAAATAAAATAGCGGTAAGATGGGGTGAATAGGCACTGAAGAAAGGTGAATAGATATACTAGAATCATTTTCAGATGTCTATTCATCCTTCTCCTACTAGGCTATTCTGCAACTTTCAATTTGAAAGATAGCAGTGAACTCGATTGCGATCCGCCATGTTGTGAGAATAATCTCGACCAATAACGAGCGAGAATGCGGTCGAGCTCAATTCGAAAATTCAAATTGACCGTTATGGAATAGCATAGTTGTAATTAATCACCCCGTTTTACGTATGTTATGGTAGTTTCCATGTTTTGTTTCTGCCTCTCATATCAGATGCTGCCTCGGTACGTTGAAATAAGTTCGCAAACATTAGGTATTTCTTAAAGTTGCTATTCAATAGTCTTCGGTACATACGTACGTACTAATGTAGCGTATACCCGTATTGTACTATATAAATGTTAGATTTTGCACACGAGTTAATCAAGCAAAATTATAATGTTGTTAGTGATTCAATATTCTTATTGAAAGAAATTATTATTGTAAGTTTGGAATTAAATTATATTTTGTTGTGATTGAAGGGATTGGAATGTGTAGGGAACTAATTTTGTCTCACTTCTGTATTCTGTGCGTTGTGATTATTTTCCTCGAGATACAAGTAAGTTATTCAGTTCGATGTGCTGTCGTTGCAAAATAATCACAATGTAAACGACACAAAACGTATTTTAGAGTAAAAGTAAAATCGGTTTTTATGCTGTAATAAAAATATTGATATTAAATAGCCTTTAAAAGTAATAGTTGAACTCAGATTGATATTATAGGATATTAAATTATGTACGTATCACTGTGGTACATAAACAAACAAATAATGTAGTGTGTAACCAATGAATAATCTCAATATCTTGTGTTTCTATACGAGTATCGTTTCACTCCTGCTTTATAAGCGCTGTACCTGTTTCACCTAATGGCCTAATGCCACTACACTGACAATATTCTTACACATATCGATTCTACTGATACTAAGCGATTTCATTTATACCGATATCATATTCGTCCCCACACTAGTATCGATATTGTAACTTGTAAGTAATCGATAATCGGATATTGTTTTAAATCGTAGTGATACAGCCTCAGCAGCATTTATTTGTAAATCGGAATAGGTCGATGTTATTTTGTTTTTTTTTATCGAAATTATGAATATAGGTTATAGATATATTGATGTGTTGTCAGTTGCAATTTACAACGGTTTGTTGAAGAATCTGTGTATTCAAAATCACTGATAATAAGTATCTGGTTTATTTAATTCCTGAACTAGGAGTATAAAATTATTTTTTATGTTTTCAAGTTAATCCACCGTTTGAATTGCAACTGCTCAAAATGAATGTTATATTTCTAAATTGTAATAAGATGATTATAACATTTTAGTACTAACTTATTAGGTTAGTTTTAGTATTTATACATAATTATTTAATAGATAAATTGGGAAGAGGCTCGAGATATTATTTAGTTGGACGATGGTGACTCTGCAAATATACTGAGAATTAATCACCAGCTTGTTTGTATCTCATCCAGAAATAAAGGAAATCAGAATTAACTGTTAACTTTGATATTATGAATGTTGCAGGGTCATCATTGTCGGCTCATATATATATGAGCTATCATATGATATTATATGTACCTACATCTCCAGATACGTTATAGAAATATCTAACAATACATTCATGTACTCGTGCACGCTAAACTCTACTCTATGTGAAGGTATTAATGTCGACAATACGTTGACTTGTTACGTGCGATCTAAGGCTCGAACTGGATCGAACTTGCACGGTCGATCCCGACACAAGTCCGCCTAACCACTACTATCCGAAACCTGTGTCACGCCTGTAGTTCACGCCTTATCACGCAAGAGACTGAAATTGCCAGTGAAAAAAAGTATTTGTTATCTGTGAACAATTTCTCCTGTGTTACCAGCATATATAAATAATAGTGTTGCCTCACTTATAGATTTTCAGTTATATTTAGGTTACAACAGTCGGCCATAGCTAGATGTACACAATAGTCGTATTACGGTCTAAACAAGTTTGATTTCGGACTAAGGAATTATGTATGGTGCTACCATTTAGTTTTCATTGAAGGACTTATTTCGTATTTCGCGTATGTTACTGGAACGCTCATGGCCATGTGTTTATGATGTTATTGTTACGGAATAAGTTCGCCATAATAATTTTCTCTCAACGTAATGTTGTCTAACAGATACGGGTAATGTCCAAAATTGTAAACTTTATTCAAATGTCATACTCACATCTTACATGTTTCTCTTTATTTACTAGCACTTACTTGTTAAGTCATACAGTCAGCGCTACATTTGTTATTTTTGTTGTTGACTGTAGCTACTCCCTGAAATGTACCTTAGCAATAAAATTTATTTACGTACGCAAGATGAAACATTTATTTGAAGATATTATATGTATATTGTCCTTAGCGAAGAACTTATATTGTAGTTATTACTATGTACCTTTACGCTGAAATACTCAAACGCTACCCAATTTTAAGTCGCGCTTAAATATAGTTCTGTCGCTACAAATTCTTTGTAAAATGACACGAGATGGTACGATATTTAAGTAAAATTAAAATTGAGTAGCCTTTCCGTATTCGGGCGATAGACGAGTAGTGTGACGTCACACTGCTCCGCTCAATATTACTGAACTATAAATTGGTGTATTCATATTTTACTATCAATGTTATTAATCTGTACTCGACCTAATTACGCTGTGTTTAGGGCAGGATTCAGATTATTTAACTAATTTTCTTCATGTTTTTGTTCCAATTGAAACATTTATGTCGAGAACTAGAGATATATCCATCAGTTGCTCCTGTCTCGGGGTAACGTATAGTATGTTAGAAGCACAATATATCGATGTGGGTTGACGAGACCGCAGTTTGGATCATGCCTGTATTGTTACAAGTATGTAGATAGATAGATTTATATGAAATAACAAATTCACTGCGTGTATCGTAAGGCTATATTCAACTTGTATATTATGGAGCGCCGGCGCAGTCGGCTCGACGCAACACATCTGCGATTTGTCTACACACAGTTTTGTACATAAAACAGTTTTTCAGTGTGTAAGCAATATTAGCATTTTAAATTTTCAAATAAAAACACTTTGTGAATAACATTATTTGTGTATTGTATTCTATGATGACGACCCTAACCATGTAAATAGTACATAAACAGAATAAAACTAGATATTTGTAACACTAAAATAAGTTTAATTTACAATAAGTTACAGTAACAGTCTGTGTTGGTGGTTACTTTGGTATGTATTTCAGTAGTTTGATCTCGTGCGTGAGCCAGATAGCGAGGGACAGCAGTACTAGCGAGCCAGACTGGTGCGACGCGGCCAGCGGGGTCGGCACGTAGTACAGCAACGTCATTATACCCAACGTCACCTGGGGACAGGAAAATTAGCAAATAAGTAGTCAGTTACCTAAAAATCGCGGGTTACTTACGTGAATATACTGAGAAAAGCTCTACTAGTTTCGAGCCACAGAGGAGCTATTCCTCATGTCTTACGATAGTTACTATAAATACTCAATCTTTAATGTTACTACCTATAAGTAGGTGATTATAATCACGTATAAAAACAAGGACTCAAGTCATTCATGCTACATATACAACACATTTGTGTAGCATCCATCCAATCCATGAGTCATCTGTCTATCATATTTATAACATGTCATCGTCCAAAAATATTCATCTCACTTGATCATTCACTTAACATTCATCTCGCATTAATTCAATATCCATAAAACCCATCTAACATGAACTTTGTAACTCTAAATCAGTAAATCCTCGAGTAATACAGACAGTAAAAGATAAAGTATAATCACCTGCAACCACGCCATAGCTCCAACTCCATTAACGACCCTCCTGGCCATGGGAGACAGTGCCTTCCCCCTGGACAAGTACCACAACCCGGTGACCAGTGCCAGGGTAGTGGTACCAAGGATCCTATGGTCAAACTGCACCGTCGTGGGGTTCTCAGTAAAGTTACGTAGTGTGGGTGAAAATTCCAGGATATCATCAGGGATCCACTTATCTCCCATCTTTGGGAAGGAACTGTAGACTAGGCCGGCGTCTAAACCTGCTACGAAGGCGCCTGGGAAAACAATGGTAGAGTTGAGATTCGTGCTTGTAGTATCAGGAAACGCACGAAGGCATTTTTGGTAAATTAGCTGCAAGTATTGCCGATCGAGAAATATCGAATTTGATTCTCGAGTTGTCAAAGTTTTATTAAATGATTTGTTCTGGAAATTCTCAGTTTTCGAGTTATATGTAAAGTAGGGACAAATGTATCCTTACGTCTCACATTTCGTATCCCATTATAAAGTATGAACATGAACTTTAGTAACAGAAGCCAGTTTATTAAGTTTAAATAATCTGATATTTATGTACCTGAAACAGCAGTCAAGAACGCCATAGCCTTAACAGAATGCGCAAGCGCAGTGATGCTCGTCAGTTCCTTTAGAGTCCTGAATGTGGAGGCAGTGGGGAAGGGGCGGAGCACCCTTAAGGCTCCAGCCAGGAGTCCCGAGTATAGGATGAAAGCCAAACTCAAATGTGCTGCGAGTCGGTACTGAGATACTCGGGGTACATCTGATGGTCCTTGGAAACGGTCTTCCAGTCCAGATTTGACCATGTACCAGCCCATGAGACCCTGTAAATATAATAAATAGTTTTGGTAGAAGAAAAGGCGTTGACCAATTTTAAAAAAAAATGTGTGGGTGGACGAGAATATGCTCAATAATAATAGCTAAAGCAACAATTTTTGGAACATCAATGTCGAACTGAGCATGTTGCATAGCCATTGATTGCCCATTATTGTCTATATCCATTGCTAATTAGCTAATATTGCCTCAACTCAAATAGTCTGATTCTACTCTTCATACATAAGAAGTTGTTGATTGTTACCTGAACCGCGACGAGTGCGCAGTAAACCCCAACCCTAACCTTCATGCCCTTGTCTAGATAGCCTTTAGCCCAGAAGAAGGCAGCCGGCAGGAACACGGCCGCACCAATAGCACGACCCCACGTACGGTGAGCGAACTCCATGTACCAGATCCATTTGAACTCTGATAGTGTTATGTTTTGGTTCTTACTGGAAAAAGGATATAAAGATAAGCTATTTAATATTTATTGGCACGTCAGCCAGCGGAATAGTCGCAAGCGCAGCTGCACTGCTTGACTTTGACATTGACTTTGACTTTGATCCCAATTACATGACAATATTATATCTTGTGAAGAGTAGGTGACACTATGTGCAACAGTGCAACTGACGCCTTTTGGGTAAATATGACGTAATAATCATGGTCTACATACTAGATAAACTCTGGAAACTGCTTATATTTCTCAAACTCCTCCTGCCATTCTTCTTCAGATCTCGGCATCTTTTCGCCAAGGAGTTTCCATGTCACCATCGACAATCCTGACTCCGTTAGCCTGGTCACACCACCTGCACACCATAAAGAAAATATATAAGTAAAACTCGCAATTACAATATCATGCAGAGTTACGTAAATATGTTAAGCTAATGCTCTACTGTTGTACCCTACATGTGATAGAAAGTAATCTATATTTTTATAACCAGAAATTATCTGGCAGTAAGTAAAATTGCAATATATCAAATAAACGTAAACCGTAATCGGAAACTAGTTCCTAGGAAACTATTCAGTTTCTACAAATATTATATTAATTATAATTTTTAAGTTTGAATAATTCAGAAACACTGGTTAAGCATATTATATTGGATGTAAGTATGCTTAATATCAATAACAAACCCAAACAATCATTGCTTTTGATAAAATTGTTTTGAACAGAACATTAAAACAATGAAGTCAAACATATTGTATCAACATTCTTGTAAATGTTTTATAAATAAAATGGAAATAAAACAAAACGTAACATTGACACCATCTTTATTCGATGCAAAACATACAGATTTATAACTAACAGATTAATCTATTTTTCTTAAGGTTTTTCAGAATATATTGAGTTACTAATGTGTATCACATACAAATATTTCAATCTCTAGACTACAGGTACATAGGTAACACAATAGTGTCAACTTTAGGCTAATTCAAAAGTATTATGCTTATTCACCCATTAATACTAAATATATTAATAAATATTTTTCTCAGACTCATGTACCTACCACTTAGGTATGCTTATACAAATCCATTTAAGATATTGCAAGCATAAATATAAATAATAGTATTTAGATTACAATAGAGAACTATAATATGATAAAATAAATGCATTTTTTTATAAATACAGTTACAATAACAGTCCAATTAACAGGTTACAATACAAATGAATATTCGACTCGTAACAAACACAAAGCAAAATGCCCAAAACCCAATAAAAAGCTTTGTCAAAATTTATTGAGATAATAGACAAAATTGTGCCAGTCAATCTAAATGCTACTTAAAGACAACTCCATTAAACCTATATTCCAACATTCCCTACTTCTTAGGATCAATAGTTTTGAGTGCTACTTCAATAACATAATATATGCTATACAACAGTATAAGATAGCCGGCTACCATACCTAGCACAACTGCCGTGAACACCATCCCCGAACATCCTAGAAGCCAGTATCCGACTACTTTTGAGGATTTCTGCTTTGGTGCATTCTGGCAGAAGCGGACCGCTATGCTTTGGGGCTTGAAGAGATCTGTAAGCTACAAAATAAAATAAAAATTGAATCAGTATAAAATCACTAACCACACAATACTTAATATTAAACCTTTCATGAGACATACTACATTAATTATTATGTTTTCGGTTTACTCACGTAACTGTTTGACGAGGAACTCGACTAGTTTCATGCCATGCTAAGCTCATATTCATGAGTTGCATTTCGCGACCCGCGACGCGGCGACGCTCGAGTTCCTCGTCAAACGTGGGTAAGGCGAAAACATAATAATTAACAAAATAGTTAGGTATAAAAATCAGCAGCTTATTTTATAAGGGTGTATGGAAGTATCTACTTAATTATGTTTGTTCACTAATAAACTACCTCGAAGGATTTATGAACGGTACAGAGACAGATTATAGTCTAGAACAACACAAGGGAATGTCACTAAAATTCATATCAATGAAATAATCTGACATCCTAATTTAGTATTCACGAATTGGGTATTTGGGTTACTGCAGATGATCAATATTATATGATGATACAAATTATTTAAATTAGATAAAATAATAAGTGTAAATATAATATTGCAATCAAGTTGATTATCAATTAAGGACGATACTGAATTTCATAATCAGACATTAAGTTAATCAACATTGTATTATATGCCAAAGTCCAGAATTTTCAATAGTCTGTGTTTCGTGATAATATGTTGCTAATGCGATTGAAATTATGA